CCCTGTTTTTATTCGTTCTTATCGTCTTAGTCAGATTAGTTTGTCAGTTTGTATGAGTCACATCCCACGATGGTCCTTTTCTATGCTTATCTTTTAATTAGCCAATGAGAATTGGCCCATGTGTAAAAAATGTCAATCACTTGAGAGCTCCTCCGAGTCTATATAAAGAGGCATCCTCTCAGTTTGTAATCAAGTTGAGTTCGAAATAAAATCTCTTGTGTTTCTTTACTCATGGATTTCTAAATCACTTCTCTTTCTCTCTCTCGAAAGCTCTTGATACTATGATAGTATTATGATCTCAGTATTATGCTTGAAGCAAGTATGCTCTGTACTCGCCTCTCTAAGAGGATCTTGTACAACAGAACGCTATGAAACCTTGATCCAATATTTCTGGTCCTTAGGACTTATGATAAACTTGCCTGATATAAGACAGAGGCTGAAAAAGTAGGCGAGGGATAAAATAAAGTAAGCAAATTCTTATATGAAAGTAACTGAATTATAAATCTCTAAGGCTCCTGGCCATAGTAGATATTAATTTGATGACAAAATTAAAATTCTATATTTTAAAAATTAGATACTAAATATCTCTATTTTAAAATAAAAAAACTAAACTTATAGATTAACAAAAATAAATATTGATCAAAATACAATTTAACATTTCAACTACCAAGTAAAATCTTCGAGACATAGACCGATAAAAATCTTGCTCACTTCCCCTTGTTTTTGCTTTACTTGATCATAACCACCTTATATATTTGATAGTTAGATAATCAATAGTTATTACCTTTCACTTTTATATCTTATTTGTTCATGTAATTATCTACATGAAATGATATTTTTTTTTTACACATATATACTTCTTTACCCTTAAACTGTTTTAAAAAATAAACTTAAAATATATTTTTAGTCCTTTAAAATTAAGATAAATTTATTTTTAAACCTTCTAATTTATAACTATTATTTTTAAATATAATTTTTAAAAATATTATTTTAATCTCTTAATTAACTAATAATATATCTAAAAATGATATTAAAATAATTATATCTCATTAAATAAAATATTTTCACTAACAGAAACAATAATAAGTAAATTTTATACAAAAGTATTTGACAAATTCTTTAATAATCATGTTCAGAATTCGGTTCCCGGGGAACCGAGTTCTGAACTTCAATTTTTTTTTTAGCTCAGAATTCGGTTCCTCGGGAACCGAATTCTGAGAAGTGTTTAAATTCTTTTTTCTTTTCTGTTTGTAGTTCGGGTTGTGGGTAAATATTGCAACCGGAACGGCCCGTTCTCCAAGCAGAAAGGGCCGTTCTGCTTGCACGAATAATCTGTTATTTTTTGAAATTGGAACGCTACTCATCAGAAGTTCACAATTAAGCGTGCTTGACCTGAAGTAGTACAGGGGTGAGTGACCTTCTGGGAAGTTTCCCATAAATTGCACAAATAAGGATAAAACACGCTAAACAATAAAATAACGTGAAATAGAATCCTTGAGAGGCCAAATATCGTGAAATAGAACCCTTGAGAGGCCAAATATGAGGGTTGTTACATTAATAAATTTATTAAAATTAAAAAAAATTATAATTTTCAAGAAAAATTCCTTCAAGATAATTTTCCACGGATATATCCATGGGTAAATCCATGGGTAATTTACCCACGGATAAATCCGTGGGAAAATCCGTCGGAAAGTTACCCACGGATAAAAATCCTTCGGTAAATATTTCAGACGAGTAATTTACCGACGGATTAGTGTCCGTCGGTAATCCGTCAGAAATGCACTATTACCCACGGATTTTTGGCATTTCCCACGAATTCTGGCCGTCTGTAATAGCGAATTTTCTTGTAGTGTTCTTTGGTTGACTTATATTTTTTCATTATTTTTACTTATTGACATTGTTTTATGCTATTTCAATTGTGACTTATTTGTTCATTAAGATTTATTTATAATTACATTATGTACATATTTTATTATTATTTATAATCTATTTGTCTGTGCCATAAGCTTGTTTTAGTAATGTTTTTGATGAAGTTATTATATTATTGTTAATAAATTAATTAAGTATGTGTTTTAATGTAGAGGTGTTCATTGGATTGGATCAATTTGATGAATGTGGCAATTAAAACCAAAACAATTAAATTAGTTTTTTTTTTTTGCTCAGGTATAATCCAAACCAAACCAATTAAACTTAATGTTGATTGGTTTGGATATCGAATTTACACATTTAAAATTTGAATGAACCCGAACCAAACTAATTAATTTATATATTATTGTTTTTATTTTTTTTATTTGGTTAACAACTAATATCGATGTATCATTTTGATTATTTTAAAGATATTTTTGTGTTATAATATGTAAGTTTTTCTATTCCTTTTCTCAAATACTTAAAGAGACTTAGAGAAACTATATTGTAATATATTGAGTGTCATTTTTACATAATATAGTGTATTTGAAACCCTAAAGTACATTAAGAAAGTAAATAAAGAGAAACTATATTACAAATCTATCCATTTATTTAATTTTTAAAATATATTAATTTAGTTAATATTAAAAAAGTTATTTACTTTAAAAAAAATTATTAATTTTTTTTATTAGATATCTAATCATTTGAACCAAACCAACTTAATTAATATTGGATTGATTTGGTTTTAATTATAAAAAAATATAAAATTAAAATCAACCTAAATCTATTAAATTTAATTAGATTAAATTAGAATTTCATTTAAACTCAAGTTAATCCGACTTTTGAATTCCCCTATTCCCATGACCATAAGTTGGATTGAAATTTGAAATCCAATAAAAAAAAATGAATCAAACCAACCTGATCCGGTTTTGGTAAATTGAGGATAGATTAGATTGATTTAGTCTGTTTAACATTTCCATTTATAATTCAGTCTCTATGATTCTTAAATCTTATTATAATTTTTTAAAATTTTGAACAAAAGGTATATTTGTAAATTATTCATACTGTAGAGTTAAAAGACAGGACATGTTTCTGTATAAAATAAAAAGGGGGACAGGATTTGTTATAGAAATAAAAAAAATTCATTTACATATTTTTCATAATAGTTTAACGAAGCTTTTAATTCATTATTATAATAAACATTGTATTATTTATAGAAAGTTTGTAATACTTAGAGGATTTATTTAAAAATTGATTCAATTTTTTGAAGTGACATGTATACATCTATTAGTATATCTAAAACTAGTTCACACAAAAGGCAACATGCGGTAACCTTACAAATCAACCAAAATGGTTAACTTGTCCACAACACAAATCAACCTAAAGTATTTATGAATTTAATGTCTTACGTTTGTTTGGTTGGTATAAAATAGACGAGAAATAAGAAGAGAATGGAAATAAAAGTGATGGTTTGATTGGTGGAAAATGAGAGGTCGACCATGTTTTTATTTCTACACAAAACATAAAAATGATGTAGAGAAAGGCAATGCATTTTACAGCCCTTTTTTCTAACTGCTATAAAGTGTATAGTTATTATAATTTTAAAATGTTTTTGGTGGTTTCTAACTGTCACAATTATTTTTTTACATTTTTTAAATAAATATTGGCGGTTGAAAAAGATCACTAATGTGTAGAATTGATTAAAAAAAATTGCATCTGATTAAATACTCCCGAGACATATACAACTTGCACAAAATTAATATTATTTTTAAATATTTTATTATAATATTATTTTATTTATTTTTATCTTTTATATTTTCTAACTATTTTTCTTAAATCAAATAACTAAATTTTTATTCTATTTTATACTTATTTTTATTCACCTATTTCTCTTTTTTCTATTTTTTTTTCATTCTGTTTCTCACCTATTTAATGACTTTTAAAATTTTAAATAAAGAGATCACCAAAATGTCAACATGTCCATGTAAATATGAGAAATATGTACAAATTTAATGAATTAAAGAAATATATCTTAAAAGGGTATAATAGCATCCAAGATTATGTGTGTGTGTGTGTGTGTGTGTGTGTGAGGAGGGTTCAAATGACATCGGTGTAACTTTTACTAAGTATTACACTGTTCAATAACTTTATATTATTGTGAATTTTGTAAATCCAATCGTTAGATTGAAAGTTTATATCACTTTATACATGTATATCAAATTTTGTTAAAATTGAACAATAACTTGAAGGTAATCAAAGTGTTCATATTTTAGTATATTTTGAAATGAATATATTACGTCAATTTTGTTTTATAAAAATGAAGTATCAAATCATCTTGGATTAATATAAAATTTTGTATATATGATCTAAGAGATATGAACTTTCAATCTAATAATTGGATTTACAAAATTTACATTTAATATAAAGTTATTAAGCGGTGTAATACTTAATAAAAATTACACTGGTGTAATTATAACCCTATATATATATATATTTTTTTTTTTATTTTTTTAAATTATAATTGTTGACAATAAAAGTGACGAGCCTATTTAAGGATTACAATTCTCAAGCATTTAAGTTTTAATCATAGGGCACTTTTATTTTTTTAATCTCAAAATCAATAGCTCATTCTGGGGATAGGAGACAAAAAGCAAGTCAAAAAATTTGTTGGATAGCTCTGCCTAATGAAAACCCTCCTAGAGGAAACAATGCTTTAGGCCGAATAAGGGTTTGGTCAAAACTTAGAAAGCAAGAATGGGGTATCAAGTGTGTAGTGTAAATAAGAATATTTCAAAAGTTGTAAGCTTCACAACTCGTGCACACTAAATTGGGCCAAGTGAAACGAAACAAATGTAAATAATCTAGTATGAAAATGCCATTTTAAAAACCCTGTACTGAAAATAAAATATAAAAAAAATGAATTTTAATTTATTGAATTATAAAATTGTGCTCATAAAAAACTAAAATGTGTTATAATTTCTTAATGATGTTTCAATTTCTAAAATTGCGAAAAAATATAAACTCTATCGATTGAGATTTCTTTCAATTCCTTGAAAATTCAACATTAAACAAGAAAAATAAAAAGCTATACGTAATTCACCAAAACAACATTACGATAGGTGCAGCTGTATTACTTCACAGATTTTAAATATATGCAGTTCACAACGTCTTAGCGGTAGTGTACAACAACTTGGTCTTGTGGGTGAATCAGTTCAAGAGGGTGATGAGATTGGTTAAAATGACAATGCATTATTCTCCAAAAGAAGAGTTAGAAAAAAATTTCAATCTGGTTCTCAAGCAGAACCAAAATGGAAATCAAACAAAACATGCTACAATTAACAAGTGGATAATTAGTTACAGAAATCAACAGTTTAGGTGGCATGGGAAATGCCTTCCAGCAACGATTTTGTTTCCAGAATAGACGCTCGCATATTTTTCATCTCCTCCTCCAGCTTCTCAAACATGCTTGAATTAGAAATGGAAGAAAGGACACTGTTTTTGTTGTTGGCAGCAATGGCCCTAGCTGTCTGTAACTCTTCGGCTTTTGACAAATCTATTTGCAATTCTTCTCCTAGAACATTTATTTCAGCCTCCTTTAGATCATGGTCAAACACATGTTGCTGGAGTTCAATGATCATTTGCCCTATTTCAAGCATACCATTATCTCTAAATTCCAAGAGCATCTCTTTCTCTTTCATCACTCGTTGAAGTGCAACCTCCTTCTCCTCTGTGTTCCTTAAACATTGCTTTATTTCCAGTTGAACAGCTTGAATCTGGCTCTCTGCATTTGCCACCTTCTTGCTTAGATTTCCCAGTTCCTTTCTTAGAGCCCCGAGTTTTTCTTGATAAAGTTTCATCTCTGCTTGCAGTTTTGTTTTCTCTTCCTCTAACTTGAGTAACTCGGTGGCTGAAAGATGCCAATTTTTCAGTGAGGAATCTATATTCTGTGTGTTTTCAACTGCGAATAGAACCTTTTCACCTTCCCGCTTGCGAGTCTCTTCCTCCAGTTTTGATTTAATGCAAGCAATATTCTTCACTAATTCAACCTCGGATTCTTGGTTCTTCTTCTGAGCATTCTCCAATCCCTGTTTGGCAGCTAGAAGAGCTGTCAATTCCACTTTCTTTTTGTCAAGATGAGATGTCAAGTCGCTCACCATTGCTTTTGCCCTTGATTCCCGTTGCTCAAAGTAAGAAAATGTTGAGTAAAAGTTTGATAATGAATATTTGAGAGCAGAGAACTTTTTATCAGCTATTGTTCTTCTTTTCTGTGCTTCAGAAAGCAGTAGTTTCAAGGATTCAAACTGCTGACGCTTGACCTGAATATCATGCTCTGTGACATCAATTTCTCTAGAGAGCTCATCGACTTGGACCATTGCTTTTTCTGCACAACCAAGTGAAGCTATAGTCTTGACTGCGTCTGAGATATGTTCATCAACTCTTTCAAGCTTCTTTGTAGCACAATGTAATTCCTCTGATAGCTTAGCCTCGCTGAGATCTGATACCTCATATTTCTTCTCAGAGTTGACCAGTACATCAGCCTCACTATTAAGCTTTTCTTGTTTTTCAGGTGCATCACACTCGAGGTCCATATCAGACACAGATGTAGTTGGTTCATATTTATCTTCACCTCTACCCTGCACTTCCTGGGAAACAGTTTCTACTCTGGAGTCTCTTTCCCCACCATCAACTTCAACAAGCTTTTCTGGGCAGTCCATTACTCCCTTGGTTTCAACTCTTTCATGTTCAAAACTTGAAAGAGTTCTTTTAAGATCATCCCTCTCCTGCATGGCTCTTTCATACAAACTCATCAGCTTTTCATTTTCTTCATTTAATTCCATTAACTGATGCTGAAGATTCTCAACCATTCCTTTCAACTCGGTCTCCTCTTTTGTTGTTTCAAGAGAATAGCAACCACTGCCAATCTTGGAACCAATTTCTTGAGTATCCTCCCCTTTATTAACATTTTTAATATTACTCTCAGCAGCCGCTTGTTCATACAATTCAATTAGTTTACTATTATCCTCAATCAAGGTTTTAAGCTTCATCTTGAGTTCATCATTCTCTTTAGCCAGCATAATTGCTGTCTCATGAGCCTCTGCTTCTCTTTGACTAGCAGCAGCTATAGCATCAACCATTGCTTTCAATTCTAGTTGGTCATTGCTGTTAATGACAGGCATATCCGTTGTTGATGGAAGGTACATTTGCTCTTTTCCTTCATTAATGGTTTGGGATTTATCTTGTTCTAATTTTTCCGTCAAATCATCAACATGCCTGCAAGATAAAATTTAGTGGATGAATTTTAAGCACTGTTTGTTCATTATGAACAAAGACAAATGCATATCATCTATGCAGAAACAATGAGAAACAGAAAAGGCAGTATGTCTGTCAAGAATGACCTTTAGCCAAAAACTATGTCCAAATAACGTACAGAAATGCACAACCGTCACATAATTATATAGAGAAAAGTGAAAGAGAGTAAACAACACCTTTTCAATTTTTCCTTCTCTTCAAGGCAAACCTCTAGCTTCTTGTGAATTGTGTCCATTTCTGCCTGGTTTTGGATAGCCTGTCGTAGATAAAAATAACATCAAGTAGGAGAGAATGTGACAGACATATGAACTAGTAAGTTGACTGAAGCTAAAAAAAACAGAGTACAAACAATATTGATCTAGACCTGAATCCGGAGAAACTCATTTTCCTCCCTAAGAGAAGAATGCCAACGTGATTTTGGGCTTGAGTCCTATAGACAAGAATTAAATAGTTGAATAAATTATATACACCAAAATTTAAAATGAAAGTACAAAAAATTACAAACCAACGTAAGATAATTAAACAGATAGTCATTTTATCCTTTTCCATATCAAATGAAGTTATTCAAATATCTAAATAACTACTAGGCTTCCTTATTCAATAGCCAACCATATGATGATGGATCAAGCTTTTAGAACATTCACAGTTTGATAATATCTAGATTTTTCTTGTGGTCCGAGATTGACCTTCACCCTGACCATTTCTAATAGGGATAAAAGTGTAAAAAATGGTAAATAGAGAACTTGAAAACAGAAATAAAGATGTAAAGTCAAAACTACATTCCATTCCTACCACTAGCTACAGTACTACCGTTGAGCACCAGCATTATTCTTGTTAGATATAAAACACGGTAATTGTGACATGCCTCTTTTTCCATTTTCATGATATTTTAAGATATGTCAACAAATATTTATGCTAAATTGCTTAATTCAGCCATATATAATGACAATACCAAACTAGTAAATTAAGTTGAATTCAAAAACTTGATTAAAGACTCACGAAATCTATAGTCATTGAAAAGTGATTGCTAGTCTGAAAATCTGATTCGAGCTTACATCTATGTTAAGTAATTCTATTGCAACATTCATTGCTTCAAACATGAATATGAATAAGGTCTATATCATTCTAACCTGTTTGGAGACGAGATTACCATCATTATGTACATCTTCAATCATCGAATCAGAATTTGTTTTCTAACATTTGCAAAAGATGAGGTCAAGATAAAAGTTTGCAGTGTCTTCTATTCTAGACAGAAAAAATTATTACAATAAAAACAGCAACAAACAGAACCATTACCAGATCTGGTTCATGCATAAATTTCCAATCTAGTGCTTCCAACAACTGCACATACAAGTGATAAAAACACAATCAATATGAAAGGGATTGACTGAAAAATTTATAAAACACAAAGGCATCCCTTCTACCTTGTTTTCCAAAACCATGATTTGTTCACTCATTTGTTCTCGTTCGCCCTCCATACAAAATGCCTTTAACCTGTCTTTAAGATACATAACATTAGCAACATGACATTATGGAAAACATGTGGAGGGCAGAAAAGTCACTGGCAATCTAGCTAGCACTAATTTGTTAGTCAACTCGAATTGGTTGGTTGCCTTATTTCTCTGAAGTTTAGACAATACCAGAAGGCTGTGTTCTTGCCTCAAATGATTTGCATGTTTCATATTTGTGGATATAGCAGGTAAATTATAGAAACTATATTTATTGTTCATACTGGAACATTGATTTTCGGTCATAATAAAGTTAATGTCTTTTCCCAAGTCCCAACCTTTATTTTAATCATGAAATCAAAGTAAGTTACTTTTGCATGCACGAGACAAAAATAAGTAAAAAAAAAAAAATCCAAAAAAAGAAAGGATTCTTGCTGTATCAATAAAAACATGCCTTCTAATTTCTTCTTTTAGCTGCAAATTTTCCATAGCAAACCTAGTTACTTCAGTACTCCGATCCACCTGGGCCCGCAAAACCTCAATTTCCTTTAAATGATCCTCTTTTTCTTTCAGCAAGTGTGTCTCAGCTGTTATCTTCTCAGAAGCAACTGCTTCTAACCTTTTTATTCCAGCCTCTCGAAAACGTAGTCTCATTTTTAAACTTTGTATCTCATCTTCTCTTTGCTTCACCTGATTCATCCCATATTTCAACCATTTAATTCATCACAAAAATAAGAACTATTGTTATTGATAAATCAACAAAAGAATGACTATAAAATAGAAGGTTAAAAATACTGCACAACTATACAAACCAGCTTCATGGACGCTTGAATTTCATCTCTTAGTGCCTGTAATTCCATTTCTTTGTCTTTTTCCCTTCTAAAGGCCCCAACAAGGGCAATATCGTAATCTTTTTTCTGCAAAAAAAAAGAGAGAAAAATGCATATCAGTTAACAAAGTGAAGGGAGACTGGTTGATTTCTTAGAGACAAAAAAAAAATTTCGACCTGAGATGTCCTTTTAACAGATGTTAATGGACTGAATGATCCTTGGACACCGTCCCACTTGAAGGATCCAGGAGAACCTGGAAAGCTGATTACTGAAGTGTCATTATCCTGAATTTCTCCCCCAGCAGCTAGACCACGTAAACGGGATACTTCCTTCTGAAACCCCAAAAATTTGCATTACGTGCCAGCAGATTTAGTAATTTAGAAGATATCAAGGAATAAATGTTTAAAGTTTTTCAACTTCCCTTTAAATAGTACATGAAAAGTAAAAAGTAGACAATTGCTTGTTGTTCTTTTCTAATACACAATCAAGTAATTATATATTAAGACTCCAATTAAACAAAAATCTTCTTATCAATTGATGATGGCATGAAATGCAAGTTGCTGTATCTATTCCATTTTCTTCCAAGTCTGATGAAAAGTGAAAGCAAACTCTTGCTCACTGTCATCATACTTCTCTGATAAGCAATTCAATAAGCACCTATAAAGGCATTAATTGGCTCATAAAATGATAAGCCATTAACTAAATTACTTGATCATTACCTTCCCTAGAAAACAAAGAAAAATGGGCACAAACATTTTTTATATCTGAACATAAGTGAAGAAAGGATAAATCAAAATTAGAATACCTTAAGTTGTTGAATTTGAATTCTCATGGCAATGACATCTCCAGACGCATCCTCATTTACAATTGCCTGGAGAAAAATAGATAATTATTTAAATAGCAATTATTGGAACTGTCTTCTGCACGGATCATCCACATATCAAAATGGTTTGTATAAGCTGTGTTGAGTAAGATTGTTTTACAAAAGGCTTTTAACTTTCTTTTAAATACTATTCATTCAGCCTTTTAATTTAATAACAAAATTAGAATAAAAGAATTCTTTAACTACTTGGTAATAATTAAATGCTGGTCACTTATTTTGGCAGAAAATATATGCACATAAATTTATCATTTAATAAGCACAAAAAGTATGAAAAAACATACATTGTTCTTAATAAATTTGGCACGTTGTGCGAACTTTAATGTGCTTAATGTCTCAAGTGAACAACTGCAAAAGTTATCAAAATAATGTCACTCAAATATAAATGCAGTTAACCATATACAGCAATGGAAAATAACATAAAAAGAAATTACAGCAAAATTCATCAAGCAACAGTGAGGTTAAAAATCCATTTATAACTATAACAAGCAAGCATTGAAACTTGCTCATTGCCAGTTTCCGTACATTCTTTATACAAAAGAAACCAAGTCCTCATGCAAAGGTATGAACAAGCATAGAGGAAGGAGGTTCACTGACCAAATGGAGGGGCTTATATTTGCAATTATGATCGTTTTTGAATTCCCTCCAAGAGAATCCTATAAAGAAGAGACAGAATACCGATCAGATTTAATTGATAATTTGCAGGTCCTTATTTATAAGGAATTCAGACAAAATAACAAAACTTTCCCCTAACATTCACAACTATAAATACTTAATTTTCCAGTGAAACACTTGCTAGATGTTTCAGAATACTATTAGGCCAGAATATCACAAGATCATTCCATCAGAAGATTTTAAGTGATGGACTATTATAAATTATATATAAAAAAAATATCCTAAAGATTCTCAAGGATCATTCATAGATATTTCAAGTGCACTTTCGAGTTCCACTTCCACAACTGATGTCTAGGTAGGAAAAGTAACCACCAAGCATTAAGCTTCTAGCTGAATCTAGAGACCCTTTATTGATAATAAATAGGTTTCTCTGACATAATTTTAATGTCAAAGAAAAGAAACTTGCTATTGCAAAAGCCAATGTCTCTTAAATAGTAATTAGGTGTGATAATTATTTTGTAACCAAAGTTTTTATGCATACTTACATAATTAGAACATCTTTTGTAGTTCTAAATCAATTCATATCCCCAAACAGTTGTGCATGACAAATGTTTCATTTTGTAACACTGTTATCAGTTGTCAGAAATGTCCAGACACAGAATTCTAATTGGGAACTATGATTGATCACCCAAGCAAAATGAATTTAGAAAATTTCAACAGCAACCTGAAGTAAAAATGTAAGCTTTGAATCACGGTATGGAACATGTTGCGACTTGCCATTAGATATGCTTACTAGGTTCATAATCACAAGCCTGCAAGTATAAAATTATTATCATCTACAATGTTATTTTTTAGGATAATATCAAAAGCAAAATAACTAGTAGGAACAATGATAATTCAATATTGTCAATGAGGTGTTTTCTGACTGATAAAAAAAATATTGATAATGAGGATAACCAACCCCAAGGTTGAAAGAGATTTGTTGATATTAGTAGCTTCCTTGAGCCGTTCCCCTTCTGCACCAGAACTCTTCTGCCTATCATCAAAATAGATACAAAATATCATCTATATGAATGTTAAATTCAAATGAGGTGAGGTAAAATACTTCTGACTTCTTTGCTCATCTAAATCATGAAAACAGAAATATACACTCTTAGGAATCAATTACCTCTCAGATCCAGCCAAATCAACAAGATTAAGTCGAGCATATCTAAAGTGAGTCACTCCTTGAGATTCCCACTAAAAAAGTAATTGAATTAAATTGTATAATACTTGGAGAACATAATAAAAGTTTAGCATTTGTTTTTTTGAACGAAACAGGAGATAAAAATATCAATATTTACTCACCTGACTCTCAATGATGCAAGTAAATACACTATGAGAACGACTGCTAGCACGATTCATGTTAGTGGCAGCTACCTTCCTGTTCGCAGCACCCTAAATAACATTGTTATTTTCAATCAGTGCCTATTAACTTATAAGTTTAGTGAAAAGGGATAAGGTTCTGAAAACAAAACAAAAAAAGTGAAAAATATTTTCATATAGGCTATTTTTCCCCCCTCAACTTGGAATTGAAAATGGAAAAAATTGAATAAATCAGTAGATATTGCAAAACAAAAATCAAGAGCAAAGATGAAGTCATTACATACCTGAATAAGTAGTTGAATGACTTCTCGTGCATAAGTAACTTCTGTTTCCTTAAGATTTTCCACATAAACTCCTTTCTTATTGTCTTCTCTTATCTTCCATATGATTTGTATAAAAAAAAATATATAGATGTATGAGTTAAAATGCCTTTTACAAATACACAGAGAAATCGTAGCTCATACAATTTTGTATATTATTTCTCAATTTTAGAAGATGAACTCCCAACACTTTGCATTCGATTAATGATTAGAGTTATTATGAACAAGCAAAGAGAGAAAAGATATCCAACCAAAATAGGAGCATGATTGTATATTTGAAGGATTTTCAAAAATATTCAATGAATAAATAGTAAGCCTTACCTGCAGATTGTTAGATGATGGGTCCAAAAGATCAAGGATCTGCTCATTGTATATTTCCAAGAAAGAACATTTGCATGTAAATTTTAACTTTTCATCTCTTCGAGCCTCTTTTTCCTGGCGTATTAGATCAATAACAGATTACAGTTTAAAATTAGAATTTTGCAAATATAAATATGCATGAATAATTATGTTGCAGCTTAAATTTATCTTAAGTTACCGTTGTCCAAATTTATGCAGCACTTAAACAGTCCAATTTGAATATCAATACGTCAAAACCTCAAGTCATATACAACTGGCAAGATAAACATTTAAAATTATTAAAATGAGTACCTAATCCAATAACAAATTATACCTTTTGAATTCTCGTAAATAAGTGCTCAAAAATTCTTGGCGTCATCCCACAGTTGACACTGTGTCTTCTAGTTCCCCCCTCAATGTCACCAAGCATGGTGTGTGTCTTCCCACTTCCAGTCTGAGCAAAACCAATTATTTTCGGTGACCACAAAAGCGTTTCATTCTCTTATTCTAAAGAATCTAAACAAGAAGTCTAGATAATAAATGAAGCTACGCTTCCTCGTATTATAAACTATATTGACCTAATTAAACTAATGGGAACAAGTCACACGAAGAGCAGAAAAGCAACGACTCACTTGACCATAAGCAAACATGCAGCTGTTGTAGCCTCCCATGCAATTTTCCACCATTGGCAAACCAGCTACTTTAAAGAGATTCTCCTGTCATATCAGTCATGTGACGAGTGAAACCCAAGGTTGTAGTTTGTACAATAATTCCAACAATTTTTTGTTATAGAAACCACAATACAAATGGAACTATCCAACAAACCTGGCTAACATTCTCGTCAGCAACAAGATCAAAAGTAAACCGCGACTCAGGATGCCCAGTCCAAGTAATTGTCTGACAACTCTCTTGCCTAACGCACTTTCCATATCCTTGCACCGATATCTCCGAGTTGCTAAGAGGACGCATTCTAATTATAACCTAGCTCACAAAAATAAACCATATCAATCTCAATTCTCTTAAACCAAACTATTAAAACACACACACACAAAACCTAATTAAAGTCATTTTTCAAACAATAAGTGCAATTTCACTAGCAAACAACTCCCCTGCTATGCAGTAACACAGTCTAATTATTCAATTCCATTACTCAAAGAATAAACAAACAATTATAGTCATGAATACAAAGTTACAAACAAAAGAAAATTTAACTGACGTTAGTCTTAAAACACTGCAAAGCTTCACATTAGATCTTGCTAGTGTGCCTGTACATTTATAGCCGTGAATCCCGTAATTAACAAACACAAGCGAATTTAACTAAAGTTACTCTCAAAACAGTGCAAAACTTTACATTAAGTCTTGCTATTGTACCTGTACATTGTGATCTTTCCAGAAGGAAGGATCCTCGCGGAGTTCGAAGCTCTGAGAGGACGAAACCGCGGCGCTACTCGGTCCAGCTACACTCTCATCGTCCCAATGGGCTAGGTTTCGGACTATGGAGCTTTGCGCGAGCGTGTCCTTGGTGGCGGATTTGAGAAGATCGGGAGTGTTCTGAACCAGCGAAAGTGATTCGGAGGGATGGTCGTGGAAACCGAACCTGCTCTTAATCGCACTGGCGGCCTCGGATAGGAACGGCATCGTGCTGCGAACGGTTGCGGCGGAGAATTTGCGGAGATGAGTGAGTTGAGTTTGTTGTTGGAATGATAAGAAAGACGGAGAGAGAGAGAGACTGGGATGGGAAATGAGAAATGAAATGAGGAAACGCAGAAAAGGAAGGAGAGAGAAGGGGATTCTGTGATCCAACGGTGGATATGGATTTAAATTCAAAGTATACGACCGTTTGAGATCCGCGTTTCAAATTTTCGAAGCTGGAGCCAAGAGAGCCTTTTCCTTCAATTATTTTATTTCTTTCTTACTCTTTTCTTCCTTCAATTAAATTAAAGTTCACTCTGTGTATTACAGTATTATTTTAGAATAAATAAGTCTATACTAATACTAATATATAAAAAGAATATTTTTTTAATAACTACATTGATCTTTATTTTTTTGAATTATTATACTTTTTTATGTTAAAAAATGAAAAAAAATATTTTTTAATCAAATTTAAGAATTTAAAATTAATAAATTATTTTTCATTTTCATTTTTACATGAATTATTTTATTTTTTATTTATTTTTTAATAATTACTTTTTTATAAGAAATTTTTTTTCTTTTAATTTTTTTAATACAATACAGGCACGAAACGTCTTTTTCCTGCTAGTAATAAATAATAAAGTTTTAAACATCTATACTAATATATAAATGAAATATTCTTTTTGGTAACTATCTTGGTCTTCACTTTTTTGGACCATTATACCCTTTTATGTTAAAAAATTAGAAAAAATATTTTTTAATCAAATTTACAAATTTGAAACTAATAAATCATTTTTACAATAATTACTTTTGGTTTTCATTTTTACATGAATTATTTTATCTTTTATTTATTTTTTAATAATAATTCTTTATGAGTAACTTCTTTTTTTTTAAAATTTTTTTTAATACAATACATGCACGAAGTGCCTTTTTCCTGCTAATAATAAATAATGAAATTTTAAACATCATTTTGACATTTTGTATTTTTTTTTTGCTTTACGTTTTGAAGCTTTTTTGATCCGTTTTGAAGTTGAATGACAGTGGAGATGTCGTAATAAAGAGTTGATGATGGAGATTTAAAATTAATCACATGTAAATTCATTTCTGTTAAAATATGTAACGTTTATTAATGAAAATAATACTTTAAAATAATATATTTATAATAATAACAAAAGAGATGTCTTTATAATAAAAAAAATGTCTTGATTATCCTTCGATTAATTTTGTAAATCATTTAATAATTAATTTGTTTCAACTTCCTATGTATTTCTAAGAGTTAGACTATATGTAATGCATCAGGATTCTCTTTGTTTTATTTTTTCGTCATTTCTACAATTATTAATATTTTAAATGTGAGACCCGTAACTCATTTTTTTTCTCCCTTCCCTCTTTTATTCACTCAAACTCTTTTTCACTCTCAACTCTCATTCTCTTCCCTTGGATTTTCGTTTGGCCATTGAAGGTGGTGGTGTGGGGCAGATTTGAGGTTTGGCTAGCTGAGTAGTAGAAGTTCCTTCTTCTCCTTCGATATACAAGCCTTTCTTCCACTTCCTCTCGTTGCTCTTCCTTCCGAAGCTCGAATTTCTTCACCAAGGTAAGGGAAGCTAGTCCTTTGACTTGTTTGGCTGAAAACGAATTCTAGGAACTCTTTGGTTGTTTGATGTTTGATGATTTTGAGCTGAGATTGAAGGACATGGGGTTTTCGGGGTTTCGGGGTTTTGATCAAAAATTTGGGATTTTTGATGATTCGTGGTTGCATGTTGAAAAAGAAGGGGTTTTTGTGTTGATTGACGAAAGTATAGTTCTTTGGAGGGTTTGCATGTGTTTGGGCTGTTGGATTGTTGCAGGTTGTTGTTCAAAAATGGAGGAGGGTTTGTGTTTGCTGTCACAAACGGCTGAGCCGTTCTAAGGCGCTGAGCGCTTTGGGGGCAGAGAGCCACCTGGGACAAAACGGCTGAGCCGTTTTAGGGCGCTGAGCGCTTTTGGGGCAGAGAGCTAGAGGAGAATCCCTGGAGCTAAAGCGCTGAGCGCTTTGTAGGCGCTGAGCGCCTTGTTGCTTTCATAATTGGACGTTGTAGTCTTCATGAAAGTTGTAGCCTTGGATGTTATCTTTCCAATGGCGCTGGAATCACTCAAAAAGGAGTTTTAGAACTCTAGATATGGCTGTTTTAGTGAAGAGAGGTTGAGCTGTCACCTTTGTTTATAGCTGCTGCGGTTTTTATCATTTTTAACAAGGTAGATGAAGGAATTAGGACTTGGTGTCTTCTTGAGAGTTGTAGGAAACCTTCTTATCTTTCATGTGAGATAAGGATGAGCATGGTAGGAGTAGTATAACTCCGGATGTGCTGTTTTCTGTGAAGGTTGTTTTAGGTGCTTGGGTTGATTGGTGTTGTTTGGATGAGTTGTAAACAAGATGGATAAGCCGTACTATATGTTGTATGTAGTGTAGTTTAACGTTGTTGATCATGCTGTCGATCATGTTGTGTATGTTGAGCTGAGCTGTAGTTGTTAAATATTGTTGTACTGACTAGTTGATAATGTGGGATTATGATGTTGAGCTGAAATTGATGAATATGTCGTGTTGTAGATGTTATTGCTGATTAAGGATGTTTAGACTGTGCTGTGAGCTGTATTTAGATGTTTAGCTGAGCTATAAGCTGCTAGTTGTTGTATGCTAGTATTGCTGTGTTGTAAGATGTTTAGCCGTGCTGGATGCCAATATTGTTGAGCCGTAAGCTGTTTAGCCGCGCTGTAAGCTGATATTGTTGTAAGTTGATATGTTGAGTTGTACAATTGTGTTGTACTGTGTGTTGATATTGGATGTGTAGGCCGAATGGCTGTGTGGGCCAAAAGGCTGAGGTGTTGATCACTAAGACTAGAGGAGTTGTTTTCGAAACTTCCTCATCCCATTGTGTGGGTTGAGTGGCTGTGGTGCTCTTGGGGCCCAATTTGTTCAAAACCCTCCCTGGGAAGCTGACCCTTGGAGTGGTAACTTGCTGTTCTCCTCTAAGTCTTAGTGGTCCCGTGTGTGGGCAAGGTCGAGGCACACGTGTACAAAGCGACCACGGTATAGGGGCCCGATCGACCTATACCGATTACAAGCGACCAATACTAACTTATATGCGTGACGACGCATTGTATGTTTTATTGTTGTTATGTTGTATGGTTGATGAGTTGTATGATGATGATGTGAGATGTGTGCTGTTGTTACTGAATGTTGTGGTATATTGAGTTGATGTTGTTAAGCTGGTTGATGTGCGGATAACTATAGCTATGTTTTTCTTATTATTTAGTTACATATTTATATCTGTATGTTATTTCCTTTCACTAGCTTACCCTTGTTGTTTCCATGTGGTTTGGACTGCGATGATCATACTATGTATGGGAGCAGAGCAGGGATAGGTTGGTGGCTAGTGGAGAGTCTGCAGCTGGCAGGCGGAGCTAATCCTTGTTGATGCTTGTTTGTTTCAGCTACTCGGTGTAGTAGTTCTGGATGAATTCTTGTACATTTTGAATCTAGTCAGATCTGGACATGTATATATGTATATTCTAGACACTATATATATACACTTGTTCTTTTCTGTCCAGTTTCAGGTGTACGGTGTAGTGTATAGTGACCAGCCGGGTCGTTACATTAAAAATAAATAAAATAGAGATAATACACATTTAATTAGTGGACACCATGGCATCATTTATCATTTATTTTTCCTAAACCATAGAAATGCAAGAAATGGAGATGATACTTTTTTCTGTATGTAATGGAAGGTGTTTATCACCTTTTTTTTTAATAAGATTTTACCGTCAAAGCTTGCGCTTATTTTCTCTAAGCACTAGTTCCTATATCTTTTTTCATCGATGATATTAAAAAAGTAACTAATAAAAATTGATATGATAAAGTGCAAAGTTATTTACAGGACTCATTTAGTAAAACATTTAGAATTCTTCGATTGGGAAAATAATTGCTTAAATTTGAAATAATAAGAATAAATGATGTTTAGAGATGAAATCCAGAGTAAAAGTGAAAGTTGAATATTATAATATCTATAATTTATTTTTTTAATTATAATATTTGTATAAAATATTTACTATCAAATATGATGATTAATCTTTGTAAAAAATTATAAGCATATATAAAATAAGTATCTAACACAATTTTTTTTTTGAAAGAGGTTAGAATTTAAACATTAAATAACATAATTAAGAAATATTAGACGCTATTACTTTTATCAATCAACGTTGATAAAACATTTACAATAAAGTTTATGGTATTAAAATGGATCACATTTGTATGCACAACTTTTTAATTTTTTCAATTTAAATTCCTCATAGATACTTAATATCTCCAATTTAAAAGACTTTTAAATGGACCCACCAGTAAACCAATATCATTGTATTTTATTAGTAATTCACTTAAAAATATGTATAGAAAATAAATATATATATTTTTTTAAATGTGATAGTAGTTTAACAAGCAACCCCAAATAAAAAAATAATAACTACCACTTCAAGCATGTAAATCAATTAATACAGAGTTATTTTAGTTTGACTAGTAATTTTAAGTTCAAGTGTTACTTATGCATTTGTATTAAATATTTGGAGGAAAATTTTGTTGTTAAGGGTAAACATAGACTAGGTCAAATTAGGTTTTGTTAAGTCATAGTTTGGTCTCAGTTGAAAAATATATGACCTAAGTTTGACTTGTTCACAAATTATGTTTTCTTTAAAAAAAATGTTAATTTAACTTACATAAGAGTTTGGCTTGTTCTACAAAATTCATTTTTTTTTCTTAATAACCAAAAATAGTAGATAGACGATAATATTTGTATGACTACAAAAAAAGTAAAAATGAAGAATAAAATTAAATGTGTGTGATTGTTTGGGTGTATTTTAAAATTAAGTACATAATATATTTATATGATTAAGACTCCAAATATTTTTATCTACCATGTTTTTCAATTCAATGACCACCTAATTTGTTGTTTGGGTCATTTTCAACTTTTAGATAATTATATATGTTACATTTAGCTCATATATGCATGTTTATCTAATTGACCAATCATATTGTAATTATCAAAAAATGAACCTATTAATTTTTAGGCATCATATCCACTTTCTCTAACCATCAATGACTATTAACTACATTATCTCATTATTTGAAAATCGGATAATCTCATCTTACTATTCAGGGAGCACATCTCAAAACTAAATTTTTAACCACTACCTGAAGTTGTTAAAAAATAAGCTAGAACTCAATGAACTAAGTTGGTCATCACGAGTTTAAGTCAAGTCAAAATAAAAAAATAAATTGCATCCACTATCAATAGTTTTTAACCTAACTTACTTCACATACAAGTCAAATGAATTCAAGTCGGGTTAGCTTGTTTAACTCGTCTATAATTCAATAGTTCAATTTATTTATATTCTTTTATGTATTTATCGTTTGAATGATAAAATTATTTTGCATTTGTATTTAAAATGTCTTGATGAAAAAATATGACTATTTAAATAAGAAAGAAAATGTGATTAATTTTTTGTTTAAAAATTTGATAGATTACTCACTCAACTTACTTTATAACGAGTCTAATTATGTTGAAATTTTATTAACTCATAAGAGAGTGAGTCGGATTTAAAATATCAATTTATGATGAGTCACATCAAGTAAGTTAAATTAATCTAATATGACACTAAAGATGTTATGCAAAATTAATGTTCAAAATAATCTCTAAAATTATGTGCAACCCCTTTACCTTTATCTGAAATCAATAACTCAAGTTTAATTGATAAATATGTTAGATAATGTTTTTAAATAGTTTAATTCAATATCAACTGATGTAAATTTTGTTAAATATTTATGTTATGTTTGGATATCTATCGAAAAGACATAAACAACTGATGAATCCAATTCATGTTATCACATTTTTTTTTGCCAAATTTGGAATGAATAAAAATAATAAACAAAATATGTTTTTATGTTTTGATTGAATAAACTTTTAAAGTACTTATTAAAAAAAATAATTTTTTCATAAAATAAAATTAGTTTAAAAATAAATTATTTTGTAAAATTTATCTTTTATTAATTTCTTAAAAATCTTATTTTTAATTTATACATATTATAGTTTTAATATATGAAAATTTTAATTTTTTTTCTTCTATTTGTTCTTAAGTGTATTCTTTTTATAAAAAAATTATCCAATTAAGTCCTTAACAACTCATATTTGTTTCAACAATCCATTATCTTTCAACTAAATATTTGGATTCAACTTAACCCAATGCTTGATTAGTATTATTCCTTAGCAAATTTCTCATGGCTTTTAAGTTGTGTTGTATATTGTTTGTAACTAATTTTTTTGAGTGTCAACAAATACTTGCTTATTTTTTAGTTACCATGATTATATTTAAATTTAAATTTATAAGACGTACAATTTATATAGTGCTTAGATGTTAATGAATAATTCTATCCGGAGATGTTTATGTTATGTACAAAATAAATATTATATAAATACAAAATACATAAGTTATAGATGAAAATGGTAATTCTAAATCTTGAAAAAAAATATTATTTTTACTTAAAATAATTATTAAAAATAATTACTTTATATTAAAAAAAATAAATCAAAATATTTTGTAGAAATCAAAATAAAATTATTCTTATCTTACAGTTTTCTGTTAAAAAATAAAAAATATTATGACAAATTAAATTATTAGTTATATTTAAATTTTAATTATACATATATACTATAATTTTAACGCACAAATTAAACATTTATTATATTTAACTATTTTTTTTAAAAAATATATTATATTTAATTATAAATTATATTTAAAATCTAAATGAATAATTATTTTAAATATATAAATTATAT